GTTTCCAGGCATGCACAAGTTGGTACTCAAACTTCTCTGCACTTTGGTTAGACACACAAGTTAGAGTGTGTGTGTGTGTGTATGTCGATAGCGGCTAAGAGATCCATCATGATGTCATCTAACGAGAACAAACAAGAGGAGGATATTTCTGACTACTGCAGGATTGATTTTTAAATCTGAGTGTAATATGACCACATCTGCAAAGATCCAAGAGATGCTATTTCATCTTCCTCCGCTGGGTGTTTTGGTCTGTGAGAAACTCCACTGTGTTGGGGAGGGGAGGGTAAAGACTGCAGCAGAATCAAGTGATATTTTAAGTAGAAGGATGAATTTGTAGAAGTGGAGTTTCAAGTTAAACTCCAGTTCTACAAACTAAGCTGTGTGTTTAAGCCATACATCTTTACATTATGGAAAAAGAATAGCATTACCACAAGGTAGGTTCCTCTACAATGACTGAGCCTGATCCTAGTACCCAGTCTTCTAATGACTTTCACACTGAACTGAGATGATACAATGCAAATACATTACTTTGCACAAGTATAATTATAATAACATAAATGAAATTAACATGTTAACATAAAAATATGAGCTTATTTTTTTTAAACAAGGTTGTTAGCTCCCGAACAAATGCCACATAAGTTTGGCTCTCCTGTTTCCAGGAAACTCTAAACTTTTCTTTATAACCTTCGGGAAATCAGCTTCATGCAGACAAACATGTAATCTTAACCTTTTCAATTCCACTTCCTGCTCTTTTGCCTCTCTTTTCTTCACACTCCAAAGTGTGTTGATGCTGCAACATTAACATCTCTTTCTGCTGTTCAAAAGTTAACGCAGATGGAATTACCTTAGGCGTTTGTTCAGAAGACTAAGATTTTCTTGCGGCCACCTTCTGCAATCAATACACCGTTCTCAATAAGCTTTTCTTTTAAAATAGAAAAATCTTCATCCTTTTGGAGAGTCAAGAGCAATCAATGCCAAAATGCTCTGCCACTTCCCGCTGCTCTTTTTTGTAAGCAGTTAACAACTGTTCATTGGGAGTTTGAAAAAACTCATGTGCAGAAGCCATGTACACACAAAAATAGTACAACACTAGGTTAACAATTACTGGTATGAAACACCCAGCAGTAAGGCACACTCTTCCCTTACTAGCTACCTAACCAAAAGAAACTCACTACATACACTAGACCGTAGTCTTCATGCATTTGGTGGTGGGTGTTTTAAACACGGTAACTCTGATGACAAACCGACTAGCTGCCAACTTACCTAAAAAGTTACTGAAATGTACCTGAGACAACTTGCTCCAACCGCCTTCATGCACAAAGACAACAAACTAAAAGACAACAAGTAAATGTGTCCAGTTACCCAGAGCACGATCTCTGAAGCCTGCCGGAAAAAATGGCTCCACCATAAAAATCAACAAAAAGTATGACTCACCTGATCCAGAATCAGAAGAAGAAGCTAGAAGAGCCTTACAGCCTCCAAATTTACTGACTAAAGAAAAAGTGTGTGTGTGTGAGAGAGAGATTGCAGGAGCTGGTTTTTTATACTCCTGTCACTCCCACCTCTCAGGTGCAGCTGGATATGTAACAATCTAACCCAGGGCTGCAGGAAGGGAAAACACAACAGTGCCAAATGAAGTGCTACCAAGCCATCATATGTTTCATTATTTTGATCCCACTGTCATTTATTATTTTACTAATAAATACACTTTCTGTAAACTATTCATTGTTGTATATTCAAGTTATTTTACTCTAAGATGGAAGAAGTTCGAGCAGTGCATCCCTAGCAGATACATTACCTGCTCTGTCAGCTTTACACACTTGTAACCTCCACCCCATTTCCTCTGTTTTCTTTCCTCCTTGATCCACTGTAAGCTTGGATAGTAACCTGACACACTGAACCACCTCCCCTCGCCCCTCCAGAGACACTAATGTGCATTTGTCTGTGAAACGAAGTGACTGTATAGCTAGTTCATAGGAAACTTGGTAACACACATACACACCCCTGCTCCAACCTACACTGCAGTGAGATCTCAGTCAAGCACCAAATGGAAAACGAGCCAGCTGAAATAACGAACGTGCTCACTCTCTCTGCAAGATCAAGATGCCTGGTGCTAACTTTGTGACAGTCACTAAGGGTGACAAAAAACAGAGTTTACCGTTTGAGCGCGCGCTCTGCTGTTGGCTATGAATTCTCCAACCTTTCAAACATGCCCACATGGTGGCCGACATGGAGATTAACAAGTGCGCTAATGCTTGTCTTCCCAGCTGCAAAAACATCCCTCCACCTGCTCACCACACACACACACACAGACGCACACACACTCACCTGCTTGTCACTCTCTTCTAATACCCCATGTTTCAGCTCTGTGTAGACTTTTTCTCATGATGACAGAAACCACATGAAACAAACCCAGTTTTGGGTGGGTGTCTAAGGATCACTGTTAACAATCAGCCTCACTAGTTTATAATATGGTGAAAGAAAGAAGACCACATGATATTTTATCAGCGTTTAGCTTGAAGCCATTTCCCAGATTTGCCTTGGTTTCAAAGCAAGCGCATACTCTCTGAATTCTAAAACAGAACAGCTAATTTCTGTCATATTTATCCACCAACTACAAACACACACACACACACTCACACACCACAAATTTCCATCGTCAAAGAGAAGAGAAGAACCACTTGTGCCGAGGCTCCTAGGTTACCTCGACATACATGTGAGCGGCCGTATTTTCTAAGTTGCGTTTTTTGTGCAGCTATGTTACGTGCTAAATTTTCCCCTTGTTGCCATAAAAGAAAACATTACTTTTAGGGTTGCTAGGGAAACCTGAATCTTTGTGAGAAAAGCATTGTGGTCTGGAGACAAGCATTATAAATTACAAACTCCATCGGCACAGTGGAATTCCTGGCATGGAATCCACCAGTGCTGTGAGGCTGGGTGGGTGAGGAAAGCTGGCATGAGAACTGGCCTCTTTTTACTGTATTTAACAAGTTTACAGCAGGAATTGGGAGTTAGAAGGGGGGGCAGCTATGGTGGAACCCAGAACACAAGCTCTAAATATATTTATATGTGTTCTTTTTTATAGGAACATTAAAGTAGAAACATTCCAAGGCGAAGCTCCTACTTACCAATGACCTAAAATAGGTCAAGTAACACTTTAGCCTAACATATAGCAGGGTTATCCTATTACCAATATCAGTGTGTTAAATAACAATTGAAAGACACTGTTTTTCCCCCACTTTTTCACATTATTAATTCCATTTTTGACACTGAATTTTTTTTAGTACAACAGGGGTCAACCTCATTTATATCAACAGCCACATAAAGCCCAATTTCATTTTAAGAGGGCCAGACCAGGCTACTGCCTAATAACCTATTAAAAATACCCAAAACATTTTCCCCTTACCGTCAGTCTAAAGCAGTTTGACTACACATTTAATCCTGAGATGTTTTATAAAAGAAACCTGCAATTTTACTATTACATCTCACTTTTTCCAAATCACAAAGACACCAAAGAAACCTACTGACACGGCTCATTGAGCCTACACTGTAAGAAATAAACAACTTTATCCTGTAATTTAAAAATAATAATAAATCATGTGCAAATTCAAAGAAAAACTCTTTTTTCTTTACTGTTTAAAGCAGAAAAGTCTTATTTTTAAGTATATGATAGGCTTATGTTTTATATCATTGTCAGTAAGAGGCCTGTAAAACTGATCCAAATACAGTCAAAGAGCCACACTTACTCTATACTCTCCTTTGAAATTTCCATGTTTTCCAAAGCCATATAGGAGGCCAGATTGAACTCTTTGGCAGACTGATTCTGGGGGGGTGTTTTAAACTTCTGTCTGTGCCAACAGATAAATATTGAAATCTGTAAAATTTTTTTTTTTAAATCTAAACAGGAATAAAAACTGTTGCTCAGCTGATCACAATAGTTGGCTGATGTATATAAATGCATTCCTAACTTTGATCCCCATTTCAGTTATCAGTGGAAATGGAAACCTCATGAGTCAAATGCTGCTTTAACATCAATTTACATCCAAGACGTTTAACTTAAAGCTCAGTTTTTGTTAAAAGTAAACAATCCCCATATGACAATAGTGTTTGTGTAATAGTTACTGTACAGGTAAAGTGTTTCATATAAGAGTGATGAGCTTGCTTTCCTCTGTTCTGTCTTACACTCCAATTTTCTTTGTATCTTGTCAGCCCATTTGACCTGGGCACCAATTTTAAAATGGGACATCCTTTAACAACCTCTTTAGCAGGATGTATAATGATAAACTTACAATGCAAAGTGTCACTCTAGACTTCTCTAACAAAGGAAAATGTGTGCTTATATTGTTCTTGCAGTTTGCCATGTTCTAACTAAATGTACTGTTCAAAGAGCCAGGAATAGACTAAATCAAGATGGGTACACAACATCAGGGCATTGTCCTCCAATTATCTTAATTTAGAGGAGTGCTTTAGTTGGTCTAACTAGAACAACAACTTGTTTGTAAGCGTCTCTCCCTCTGAGGGCGGTCTCTACGAAATATTAACCTATGGAACGGAACGATCTGCAGAGAACGTGATCAGTGGGTGTGTCTCTCTCTAAAACCATCCCTACATTCTTGTCCTCCCCCTCTTCTGCTGCTGGACACTTTCCCTCTTACTTTCTGTTTCCCCTTGCAAAGGTGTGATTGCGAACCCACTCCCGTCCTCATTATGTTGTGTTGTGTGCTGTGTCTCTCTTCCCCTGCCTCCACGTATGGTTAACCTCAGTTAACCATACGCCAACAGGATTTCTGGCTCTGTCACGGTTTTCTAACAGTGACTGCACATGTTCACGCACAACAAACTGTTGCCTCGTGCCATTTATTCTGTTAAAGAACACTGAAAGTTCTGACAACCTTTGGACTTGCATGCTCTGCTTCATGTGTTCTCATTAGGGAACATTAAGTACTGGAGACAGCTGCAAAATACCAACACAAACAATGGACATAAATATCAAAACATACCAGATCTTGATTTGATTTTGTCGTTGAATTCTTCGTTAGCTCCTCCCCCAGCGACGTCTCCGGGTGACGCCATTGCAGCCCAGTTAATCCAGTGCTAGATCAGGTAAAATAGTGATCAATTTCCAGGCTTCTCAGCAGCCCTGTTCCTGCACCTGTAAGGAATAAAAATGAAAACTCAAACTCCACAGTTCCTCCAAAAACAAAAATTTTACTGTCAAATTAGTTCTGTATTGCTTTCATATGACATTTACTTGAAGACAAAAATCCACAAATGTCCAGATCAAGTGTGTCAGACCTGGTACCTCATGACAACCTAGGATGTCTCAGGAGGACACAAGCTTTTTAAACCATGTCTTAGGATGCCAAGCTGTGCTCTTCTTTATCTTTAAATAACTCCTTAACTGGCAATTAAAATGTGGACTTAAACCTTGGCATGGAGGCAATCTAGATATTGAAATCAGCATCCAACACAACAAAGAAATCTGACTAAAGAGATTTTTTTTGTTCAAGTCTCAGTTTGAAACTCAAAAGAAAAAAGCTCCAGTCAATACTTCAGCTGGTCATCTCAATTTACTAGTTTACATTTCTGAGTCATGCTGCAGCTTTTGAGACCCCTTTTTTGTCTCGCTTATGCCTGTGGCCTGTTTCACTTCAGGGTATCCTTTCATTAAAACTCAACCACTTTCCCTTCCAAAATAGCTTACTTTTTTACCATGAAAGGACTTCATGTGCAGTTTCCCCCCCTTACAGTTCTTGGTGAGTTACAGTTCTTGAGGGATGATGCAAGACCCCAAAAATAACAACTGTAAACTCAATGAAAAGTCAGCCTCGTCTGTCTTGCAGCTATCTTTACTTTAATTTTAGTTCCTCTTTTTGTAAGTGGAGTAGTGCTGACAACCAGACCAAAACAACTGAGAAGATTTAAAACAATAAAAAAAAAAAATACAGTCTAATCTGATCTCTTTGACTCACAAGTGTGGTGCAGAACTTTCTAGCTTGCCCCAAAGTGGACCGGACCAAAGTGCACATGTGCTTAAAAGCACGCATATGGATAATCTGACGGGACTAGCGCGATCCTTACAAAATATACCAAGTGACTTTTAAACAGTGAATCAATGATAGTCTTGTTTTAGTTAATGTTTTATCTCTTAGGTATGACTGCGGCAGTTTGGGAATTTTTGTTTGGAGTGCTGCACCACCCCTCAGCCAACTCACTGCAAGATTACTGTGATTTTTTTTATCCCATTTTATTTCAAACTTTTCTCTCTCAGTGGCTCCTTTTACAATTAAATCCGATAGCGAACTTCACAATAACGTACCAAGCTGTACTCGGTTTATTTAGTGATGAGCACTACAGGTCATGGGCGTTTTCATGGATCCAATCACTCACCTCTGCTGTCACCAAGGGTCAGGAGACGTGTTCCCTCAGAGCAAGTCCAAAACGTGTCGAGTACGGATGGACAAACAGGGTAAAATGTATTAAAACTACGTGGATTTAATTCATCTAAGGCATTTTCTACGAGAAACGAGGCGTCTTTCCCCACTAACTAGCGTTAAAACTTAGCTGACGTTAACCAAAGAGAACCACCGTCCCCGAGCGCATCCAGTCTCCGCGATGTGCCAAAAAAGCTTCAAGAGACGCCTTTTGGCAACGCAATGCAAGGTGAGGCCACCGTCGTCTACAAAGCACACGGCTAGCTGTCTGTTGCAAACGGAGAGCTGGTTACAACATTTCACGGGTGAGCACCGCAGAGCTGTTCACTCAGGTCCACAACTTTTGTTCCTGTTGCTTTTCTCCACTCTTTCTCCCTGTTACATACACTGACGCAAACAGCAAGCTAAATGCAACGGAAACTGTAGCGCTGTCTTTCAAAATAAAATAGCCAAAGAACTAAAGCAGTTCCTCGCAGTGTTATATTGTTACTGCGGCTTCGGAAATAAACGAAATAATCTTTTTATAAATTGAAAATGATATATTCACCGGATAATCGACTCAATCCTAATTACCGACTCACGTTGCAACAACCGAGGTCTTATTTTGAAGGCATATATCGGAACTACATTGCCCCCTCTGGGTGACTTGATTTCGCTCTGTAGCGTGTCCCTCTGGCTGTAAAAGTTTTCCTGAGTCTGAGATGGAAACATGGCGCGGTGGCCGTCACGTGATGTAATTCTAACAAAACCTATGACTCTCACGGGGAAACACAAACTTTAATAGAAACACTAAGCCCGGAGAAATAACGGACGGTGCTTTAGACAGTTTCCACGCCTTTCCACCTAAAGGGAACGCAAACTGACTAAAGCCTGACGCTGGATCAGAGAGATTTATTTTATTGCAGCATGCGGGCAATGTGACCCATTTAATTAATTGAACTCTCTGCATTAATGGTTGTATTTAAACACCTACAGATTTGTTGTCTCTACAAACTGGTCCGTACCAATGCTTGATTGTATATCATATTATAATATTGCTATTGATGCATTAAGAGGGGCATTTCATTTGACCTATATTTTGGGTAGTTTCATCTATTAACACTAAATATTTCACTGGCAGATCAAGCAAAGTGATTCATTTTTATTTATATACCAACAAATCAGACACTGTACCTTACACTGTAAGGTAAAGACCCCTGCGGTATTAAAGAGAAACCTTCCGATAACCCCCTGTGAGCAACCATTAGGCAAATGTGGGGAGGAAAAACTCCCTTGCAAGAAAAGAGACCTCCAGCAGAACCAGGCTCAGTCATCTGCTGATACTGGTTAAGAGGTGAGGGTAAAGAGAAGAGAAAAAGGAGATGTGACGCACAGAGACTATGCAAGAGACAGGACAAGAATTAATAGCCTGCAGCAGTGGTATATAAACACCTGGGGAATGAAAAGAAATCTGGAGAAGAAATGCTGAATGGATCACAGGAAGTACCCCAGCAACCTTAGTCTAGAACAGAATAACTAAGATATGCTTCAGGGTCACCTGACCCAGGCCTAACTATAACCTTTATCAAAAAGGAAATGATGACTCAGCGAAATAGTTACTAAGTACAGTCATGTAAAAGGAAGAGGGACAGAATGTATAAGATGCATAGAAATGGACAGGTACCCCAAAGATGCACTTCCTGGAAAGAGTAACTGCATTCCACGCCTGGCTGGTTATCACTTTATTGAGTATTTCAGCCCATAAACAAATCCTGAGAATTACTGGGCACCCAGGTACAGTGTAAAATCCCCAAAATGTGTGTTTGTGTGTGGGTTTTTTCTAGTTTAATTAAAAATTACAACCAGCAAAGCTCTAACAAAACATATGTTGCTTTTTTTCAATCAACACACAAAACAGGTTTCTCCTCAATAACCAACTTTATTCATATAGCAGCTTTGATACACAACTACAAACAAAACAAGACAGGAAGACAAACAGGAAATCAAGTTTAAAACATAAATAATGACAAGTAAAATAAGAATCAAACCCTTATTTATGGCCACGGCTTAAATGGAAAAAATAGTAAGAAAGATAATACCTACAACAGCAACAATCGTTACCATACACACCCCTCCACCCCTGATGTCTCAGGTTTCAAGTTGTGATAGTGAGTTATGTCGGCCTGAAAACAACAACTTTTCCCGTGCCTGAGGGGACTGAATAATAGATTAGACCCCATTAAAAAAAGTCTCTGAGGCTTTGGGGGATGTTGAGATGTTGATCTCCCATTGTATGCCCTCATCCTTCTCCCCCTTGCGTCTCAGTTGTCGGGCCTCTTTTGTGGATGCTTCCTCACGCAGCCTAAAGAAGAGGCTCAATTTCACAAATCAGTACTCTATTAATGCCACAAAAACATATCAAGTGACAGCATATGCGTTTGTCAGTGGAAAAAAAAGAGGGAAGAATAGGACAAAATATGGTCTAAGACCAGGAAATCTTTAGTATGTAAGGCCCCATTAGCGATTTTTACACACAGTATTTCTTCCTCAATTTACCCCAATTTGCTAAACATGATTCATAGTTACACACTCACCATGTTTGTGAAGTTGAGAAGTATTTATAAGGCTGCATCACTACAGTGCACCAAACTGTTGAGTACTGCTTGCAGCTATTTTCTGTCAAGCCTTTCCGGTGGCATATGCAGATGACTGGGTATCGATGGATCTAAGGCATCGCCCTGGCTGTGAAATTACAGGGGTGAGAGTGTGCAGGCCTCCTCTGGGCCAGTGCTGGACTCCAGCCCAGAAACTACAAGAAGGCGTTAAAGTGCCCTCTTCTGTCCTAATCACGCAACTACTCCTGAAAGGTTTACTAATGCAATGTGCTTTGCTAAGACCTGATTTTAAACTTCTGTGGAGAATCTTAGTATATCCTAAGTAATTTACAGACGTCGTTGCTGGTGTGCCAAAAAGTTATTTGTGATGTTTCAATTTTTTATGTCTAATATCTTATATTACTACTACTAAACTTATCTTAAGTTTATAACTCAATCCTGAGTTATAAAGAAATTACCTGTTTTGACTGTGCGTTAACTGCACCTACATTATATTTAGTTATATTTCTTGCAATTTCTGCTGCCTCAGTTGTCCCTCAGTTTTTCCACTACTTTTTACATTCACTCACTCAGTTTCAGTTTCCCCTTGCATTAATTTGCCTAATTTTGTGAGTTTTTATATTGACGCTATGATTATTATACCTTATATTGAGATATTTCTTGTTATTCTTTCACTGATGAATCCAAAAACTGCGGCGAAATTCACAAGAGGAAACGACCTCACCGAACAAGCCAGTCACAAGAGTTCCGTCAATGGGGGTGTAGCTGCATTTCTAGAGTGGTGCACGTCGGGTTACGCCTTAAACAAGTAATAATCAGACGGATAATCAGAATTCAAATCAACCTTCCTAATTCTCCAAGTAATGTTTGGATACTTGGGTTAACCGCAAGCTGGCGGCTGGCTTTGTAATACAACACTATTTTAGCGCCCGCGATTTTCAGCACAGTTTTATTACCAATAGACTGCTGCAAATCTGTTAACTTAG